TTTAGTTTAGATTAAATTGTCAGAAATTGAGATTACATTAATTAAATGTAATTGTAAGGGGATATTTATGCATCCAAATGTTTACTTTTCAGATGACTTCTGTGTCTGTTTACATTATGGTTCAGAGTTGGTTTAAAAACTGTAACACCTGTAGCACCTTCATTGATCCATTCTATCTAAAACCTTTTCTGCAACGCGGTATGCTGAAGTCTTTTGTTGCTGTTACATCATGTTTACATGGTTATTTTTATTTTAAAAAAACATAAATTTAGAGAGAAGGGCTTAGATCATATTTCTAATTTAGGCCTGGATGTGCCCAGTGTGCCTTGACTCTCTTTTTCCTTTGAATGGCAGGTCACAGGTCATATCACAAATATGTTTTTGACCTCTGTTAGCTTCACAAGACGCTTGCTAACTGCTGGACTTGGGAAATTATTTTGAAAGCTCTTTTGATGTATGGAATTAAGTATAAGGTTTGTTGGATTAAGGGTAAAGTAATAGGATATAATAGTATTGATCTGTATCTTTGGGCCATTATGTAGCACTCCATGAATTAGGGGAGGAAATCATGTATGCAGTCTACAAATTTGTGCTAGCTGTACTGCAAGTTGCCAAGTTAATGATGTCTGAATCTCTAGAGATTCTGAATTCCAAAACAGAATTGGTGACCCTTTTAGTTTGAAAATTATTTATTTGCTAAAATGGCCAAATACTTTTTTCCAAGTGCAGATACATTTTGCAGGAATGAGGTCTATGTATAATAGGCGAGCTACAAAATCTAGAAGTGAAGAAATGTATGTTAAGAACCTTGATTACATTTTATGAATCTAAAATCAATAGTGCCTGTAAAGCTGGTTGAAATAAATAATTTGTAATAAAACTAATCAGGGCATATACATTTAGTAATTCTGTTGGAGCGGAATTTCTTCCTGTTGATGAATGTATTTGTGGAACTTAATTGAAGCTCGTATATGTTTCACAGACTCCCAGGTCTAGTACTTGAGCCCCAAATTAATTTATCTCAGAAGACTCCCTGATTTTTTATGTCTTTCTTCCATTATGTATACTTCTGAGGTCGTATTTTATATGTTGGGACATGAAAATTTGCCAAATGTTTAAATAATTTGCTTAGAATCTTTTTTAATGCCATTATGTAACAAATCTCATGTTATATGCACTGTTCATGATAAGAACTTTGTATTGAAGAATTGCAAGCCATCTACTCCTTATATGTACAAAACAAAACAAAATCATTCTCATTTTTGAATTATAAAATTATATTTTATTTTTATAATTGTAATTCTGATTGTGAATTTCACTGCCACTAACTCATTGTGGATATTGTAGATAAGCTTGGGTCCTATATTTCAATACTTACACAATTTAAAAAAAATAAAGTAATGCCTTGGAAGTAGTAACGTTTAATTAAACCCCAAGTTTAATTGGTTCTAAAATTAAGAAATGAATTATTTCAAACGCCAAGAAATACATGTTTAAAATGAGTTTAAGATTTACATTGTGTTATTTAAAATCTTAATGTTCATGTTGTCATGCTACTGTTCAATTTTTGCACTCCAGTAATTTTTCTAAAAAATTTAAGCATGTTAATTCTTCTCAGTATATCCATGCCTCTTGTCTTTATTGGTAAAACATATATAACATTTTGCATATTACAGTTTAAATTGATGCAATCCAATTGATGCAGTACAACTATAGCCCCAGTTCTTACGGACACCTGTGCATAAAAGTCATATTTTCCTTATTGTCAGAATTTATATATGGTTGCACATACAGTTGGTCCTCATGTAACAACTGCACATTCAGTGACTGATCAAACATGATGGTGCTGAATGAATGGTAATCCTGATTATCTGTCAGTGTAGCATTTCTGTGGTCACGTGGTCATGATTGGGATGCTAGTGCCCATCTTTAATTGCCACATCCTATGGTCATGTGATTGCAATTTGAGAACTTCCTTGCTGCCTTCTCACAAGCCAAGTCAAAGCCCACAGGAAGTCATGGTCACATGAGGTCCTAGTTTAACAAATGAATTTGTTTTCCACTAACTTCAGTTAGAAAATTACTAAGTTTACAGTTTTTCATTACGACTTCAGAATTACAGCCTATGAGTGGAGCAGTAACTTTAAAAATGCATATGTTTAAAGTTCTGTGAGTGAGGTTTTTTTTTTCTTGAAATCGATTTCCACTTAAAGATTGGTTAAGTTAATTTCAAAGAGACCTAAGTGCACCTTTCTGCTTAGATTTAAAGACACCAGCATTAGTATTTATAATATAAACATAGTGCACTATAATACTATATATAATTATGTTATTTATTTATGGTGTACTTCCCACCAAAGTGGTACCTGTTTATCTAATTGCATTTGCATGCTTTTGAACTGTCAGGTGGGCAGGAGCTGAGGCAAGTAACAGGAGTTTACTCTGTCAAGCGGCACTCTGTCCTCAAACCCAGGCTGTCAACTTTCCAGCTGAGAAGCTTGGCATCCTTAGCCTCTGAGCCATTGCGCTACTTCTAATCATGCTAATAATCTTGCTCTCTTAATTAAGAGAAATGATTTTGCTTCTAGAACCCTACTGTTGCATGGTGTGCCCTAGACTGAAATATAAATGAAGGAGAGCTTTAGTTCTTTCTCCTTTAAGGTGAAGTATATACCCAATGATCACATTTCACTGCTCTTGCAGGGCACATTGGGAGCAGTGGTTCTTTCACAGTATATCTTACAATGGAAAACTGCACTATACTTTTATATAGAAACAGGTAAATAAAACATTTTAATGTTTAGGTGAGATTTTTTTCAAGAGGAAATAATTGCTGGGAAGTAGAAATGAAGTGAATTCTGGTAAGTTCAAAAGAATTAAGCACAACTCAACTTTTGGCAAAGACGTCAAATTGTTAGTTGGTAATATATATTTAAACTGGATTTCTACCTCCATTCCCCATAATCTTGTCACACTGAATTCAATTCAAATTTAAAGCCACTATAAAAATTACGTGTTGATGAAAGATGCATATCATCTGTCCCTGTCTCTTGAAATAAATACCCTGTATTGTTGGAATGGGTGGGGGTCATACGATTATTTTCCATTATTTTATTTAAATTTGTACCCTTTATTCTATTTCTAGGGAAATTAAAGCAGACTAAGGCATTCTGTTAGACTTGGGAATGTTTTGAGAATAATTTGAAAAAGGTGCTTCAGAACCTGCAAAATGTTCACTCTACAGTAAAGTGTTATTATACTTTTTCAGGTTTCTGCTCTAGTCTGAGAAAAGGTTATGCAGGTTTAATGAGTCTGCTGCGGCTTATTAAAACATTTTGCAACATCTCATGGAATCTTGAAAAAGTGGGACTCTTAAAGTGGTATTGCAGCCACATGTTCCAAAATATTTCCCCTGAATAATTTTCAAAGCACATCCCCTACAAAACAGCAAGACACTATATTTAATAATGCAGTGCACTTCTTGCTGTAATCTATTTATTAATCAGACTTACATAGCCACTCATCTCACAAGAAATGTCTCTGGATGATACAGAATAATCAGAAATGAATACATATATAAAAACTGACATTAAAAAATGAAAATCAGCATTAAAAATGTTAACAGATCTGTTAACAGATAATCAGAGTTGGAAGAGACCTTGTAGGTCATCTAATCCAACCCCCCGCCCAAGCGGGAGACCCTACACCATCTCTGACAAATGGCAGTCCAATCTCTTTTTGAAAGTCTCAACTGATGGCGCTCCCACAACTTCCGAGGGCAAGCTGTTCCATTGCTTGATTGTTCTCACTGTCAGAAAGTTTCTCCTTGTTCAGTTTACATCCATTATTCTTTGGATGGAAGAATTCTTTGTCTAGCCTTCAGGTGCTTTAGAAAATAGCTTGACCCCTTCCTCCCTGTGGCAGCCTCTCAAATATTGGAAGACCACTATCATGTCTCCCCTAGTCCTTCTCTTTACTAGACTAGCCAAGCCCAGTTCCTGCAAGCGTTCATTGTATGTTTTAGTCTCCAGTCCCCTAATCATCCTGGTTGCTCTCTGTACTTTTTCTAGAGTCTCCACATCTTTTTTATAATGTGGTGAACAAAACTGGATGTAGTACTCTAGGTGTGGTCTTACTAAGGCTTTATAGAGTGGTATTAGTACTTCCTTGGTCTTAAAACAAAAATTATACAAACCTCAAACAGATTGCACCAAATAGCAATCTGTTAAGGTTGCCAAGGTTAACAAGCACCTGGTAGTGTGGTTATTGATTAGGGACATTTTTTAAAATTTAAAATATTTGTATTTTATCATGACATGTATCTCCATGATTTCAAAGAATACACTGTTTGATCTACATACTTTAATGCATTTACAGATTCCAAGGTAAGTACATTGTTGGCCTGAAGCTACAGAAAGAAACTTCAAAAATAAATATTTTTGGTAATGTTCATTAAAATTAAACATCTGTATTTCAAATAATAATAGAAAAAGAACATTTCTTTTTCTTCCTCTTTTTGTTGCTATGCCAAGATTTCCTATTACAAAGACATCTACAGAACATTGAACAAAAAGCTGATGGACTTTATTACAAAATGGAAAATTGTTCTGGAAAAATAGGCTCATTCAAAATTTTCCACATGATTGTATGATGACTCCTACGAGTGAGCCTCAATGTTTTGATCCTTGAACCTTGACATTTCTTAAGACATTTACCAAGATGCAAAATATGTAACCCAGTAGATACCATAACTGTACTTGTAAAATGCATGGTGGGAGAGGAAATATCTTACACAAAAAAAGCAGCCAAACTTTCCAGCTACTTTTCAGCAAAACTATGGCTGATTGAATCTTGTGTATCAAATTAGCTAAATTGTACAAATTTGAGGATCCTCCTGTTAAAACATCTGAGGTAACTTTCAGTACTAGAATAAAAGAAAACATGTTAGTAGACCTCTTTCTGAATCTAACAGTCCTCTCACTAATTTTCTTGTCTAACAGTAATTTTAACAACACATTAGAATCTTGAGAGATGTTTGAATTCATTGCAGGATCCCAAACTGGATTCCCCAATTCAAAGCAACTCTTAGTCTTTCATTTTTTATCTTGCAGTGGATGCAAGAATGGGGCTTGCTATAGAAATTCTTTTTTCTATTCTTAATAAACGCATACTCTAGATTATTCTTCCAGTACTTAAATCATTCCAGACCGTTTTAAAAATGTAATTCTCTTCCAACAAAACCTTACTAGACATTTAATATTTTAAAAAATACAACAGAGAGGAACTTCATTTGTATTTTTACCTTTTAAGTACTTGGAGCATGAGTTCATGTATAGTATTTTTTTCCTCGTCAGATGAAATTAGGATCAGATAGCATCTAAAAACTTTGATGAATTTGCTCCGGCAACTTTTCTTCGCTTGTTAGTTTTCCAAAAGTGCAAAAAAACTCTTCCATTTCTCTCTGAAGAGTTTCATTTTTCCTCTCTGCATCCTTGCGTGCCCTCTCTGCATTGCATATTTTAGTTTCTACTAAATGATGCCACTGCCGTTGCTGATCCAATTTTGAATGTAGATCCTTAACTTCTATGTCCCTTTCTTTATTCTGTTGCTCCAGGCTGTTGGCATAAAAACAGTGTGGTTTTGCATTTCACAAGTGCTTCATTTCCTTGGCTTATCCTGAGTAGAAAATACTTGAAAGGTTTTATACTAGACTCTCAGTAATACAAATCAAGAGCCACAAGGTAAAGAAGGATGCTCAGGCATTCTTGTAATAATTTGGTCTAAAAAGTAACATCTCAGACTATTAATCACATCTTTGTCTCCTTTATCACTCTCATATGTTGGAATCACTATTTTCACTAATTCACTGGAAGAAAATGAATCTGACACTAATAGCCCAAACATTGTACCGACAATTAGAAGACTTGTAGTTCAATAAAATGGCAACAAAACAAAACTGCCCTGTGAAATGCGAATTAGGGTGATCGCTCAATACATACAAATTATACATGATTTATTTTTCTGTTTGCAGCTTGCTGCTTACTATGCAAAGTGCAACCATATTAACTGGTCTTTCAAAATGCATTGCTAGAGGTATATAAAATATGGGACAAATATTGGTAATTTTAATCTAATTTATCATTATTTGTTCCAACCAATCTATAAATGTTCCCATAAACCAATATTTTTGCTGCATTTCTAACAATAGCAACACACAACCCATCCAAATGCATGTTACTGTATGCTGCCGAGAATTGTTTTGTGTGAGATGGGCAGTCGTATAAATGTAATAAATAAATAAATACAACAAGCCAAGCCCCAGTTGTTGACGTATTGTGGACTTGAATATTTACCTTAAAACAATAGCTTCATATTCTGCCCTCTGTTGGGCCATCTGCTTCTTTAGATGGGCCAAGTGGCACCGCAAGAAACTTTGACATGTGGAAACATCTTTGTGTGAAATGGAGCACTTGCTACAGTTGTTCATCTGGCCTTGTTCCAAGCTGTCAACAATCCCTCAAATGTTTGTTGTTGTCTTATTAGCCCCTGGAAATTCTTTATGCTTATTCTTGGTTAAAAAAAAAACAACCCCAAATCTTAGTTTTAATCCAAGCTTCGTATCATCTAGGTAATTATTTGATTAGATCTCAGCAATATTGTTGATAGTCTTTAAGCTTGTTTGAAAAGTGCAAGAAGCTTTCTTCTAGGTGAGAAGTCGCCTTTAATTTTGTCTGTTTTCTGGTTTGACGCTGGACATGGAAGTCATACCCCAGCTGCAGCTGTCTGAAGCTTCTCAGATGCTTGGAAATAATAATCCACTTTTATGGGATCCTGGATCGTGTTTCACTCCTGACTTTGTTCTGGATAAGGGTTAGGGTTAGGATTGGGTGGGAAACACCTCACATTGCTACGCTTCCCATATCCTCTTGCAATAAGGGCTTAAGTCTATTTGCCACCACCCTTTTATTACCCTCCCTGTTTTCTCATATGCAGCGTGACCAACACTGGTGGGTGGCACTCTTTAATGAATTGTTACTGTTCAGATATCTGCCAAGCTATTCTTGGCTGTGAAGCAGCAGCAGCAGCACAACTGGAGTGTACAAGTTCCCTTGTGCCTTTTACATAGGCAATAGAAATATATCTAGCCTGCTTTAGATTCACTGGTATAACAACCTAAATAATGCCGGGGGGGCGGGGGGGAGATAGTGATGCCAGTACCAATGGCTGATATCAACACAACATTTCCAACCTGATGCCATCATTACATGGCAATTCCCATCAGGGTAGTTGAGATGATAAAAAAATTTAGAGAATACAATTAAAGGTCATTAAGATAGGGAAAGCAATATACGATAGGATAAAGTTTGTTTCTCACTATTTTTATTAAGTTTGTTCCCCACTATCTTTATTATGTTATTGGACAACGCAGTTCACATAACTCATCTGTTTAATACCAAGTAATACAAATAAAGTACTTTGATACATGTTTTTTCAAACTCAGGAAATACCTGTTACGGTTCCATGCCTGCCTGCCAGTTTGCCATCTGTGTTTTGCTCATTTAAGCAAAATAGTGTTTATTGAAGAAATAGGTTTGTTATATTTTCCTGTAATTAGCAAGCTGACAGGAATATTATGGTAAATCATTCACTATAGTATTCTTTCCTTTCCCACTTGAACAAAACTGGAGAATCTTATACCAGCCATTCAAGAATTGAAACTAGAGAAATGTAAGAGGTCTCCTATTTTTACTCTTCAGTGAATATTTTCCGGCTCCAATGTAAACTTCACATTTGCTGAGTTTTGTGGGTGCACAGAGATGTACACACAGACAGGTATGTGTACATAAAATTTAACAATTTGTATTAATGCATCAATACCTCATTCAGCTTATTTGGGTATTGTGCTTTTTGGGAGCCTGAAAGATGCAAAGAAGGTGGAATCAGAATGTACTACTGAAATGAATTCTGTGTCCTGAAGCCACACACCAAACAGTCATGATTTGTATCAGCAGTGAGGCTGTCCTTTTATTATCTTTCCCTTGTTGTCTGTATGCAATGATGGGTGAATGTTATTCACTGAATCTTGAAAGAGACAAATGTACAATATGTCATTTTTGAACCAAGCAGAATAGGCGTCCTTCTGGCAACTGCAATATTTGGGGTATTAGGAAATAGAACCATATTGTCCACATAAAGAACAAGATTGAGCATATTCTAGAGTTGTACATATGATGAAATCAGTATTATATCTCTAATACTGTTAATGGTAGCCACTCCCTGGATCCTTAGTGAATTTGGTATCCTCAGACTCAGAGAGTTTGGCTTTGGCATATCATCCTCACGTCTTATGAATTAAAGTTTTGGAGGCAAAAGGCTTGGGAGGAATTCAGCTCATCAATTTATGAATCAACTTGTGAATCTGTGCACAAGTGCATGAGCAATACACACCAGCATATTACCAGGTCATAACTCAGATATTAGAAATATGAAATTAATGTGCTGCATAATACATTTCCTCTCTTGTTCTTGCTGATGAAGGGAATTAGGGTAAATCTGAGTGTGAGCAGTGGCAATAGCCAAAACGTTTAGATTAGTGTGCTCTCAGATGCATAGAATGAATGTTACAAAGTCAAACAGATGGCTGGGTTTTCACTTTGCCCAATCTTTCTAGGATCATCAAAATTGTGTCTCAAGGGAGCTAGGTTCTAGTCTTCACCTTCAGGAAATAGAGTATCAACTAGCTATTAAAATATAATTAGACTGAAAAATAATCACTTCCTTCAAAAATACTTCTGTAGTCTATTAGCACCAATAGGTGGGCTCCTGACAAGAATAGGAGAAGCGTCTTTTTTGAGCAAGGGACATGTTTGGAAATTTGAGAGCTTGTGGAAAGCACACTGAAAAATATCCACTGTGGCTATATTGCCAATTAAATAACTCTAAATAGTATTTTGTTTAAGGAAAAACAGGTTGAAGATTTAATATATACAGGTAATGTGTTTTTATGTGTGTGTATATCAGAAGTGGTATTCAGCAGGTTCTGACCGGTTCTGCAGAACTGGTAGCGGAAATTTTGAGTAGTTCGGAGAACCGGCAAATACCACCTCTGATATACACACACATATACTGACGGCAAATACCACCTCTGCCCCCATCTATTCTCTGCCTCCCAAGTCTCAGCTGGGTCTTCTTTTGTTACCCTGCACAGGAGAATGGAGCTGGAAAGCAGGTTGGTAGGGTGGGAATGGAGATTTTGAAGCATCCTTCTGCCACGCCCACCAAGCCACACCACGCCCACCAAGCCACACCCACAGAACCGGTAGTAATTTTTTTAAATCCCATCACTGGTGTATATGTACACATGTACAATAGCCTTAGACTCACAAAAAGGGGTTACATGATTGAAATGATGTCTTGATTGAACTGTAATTCAACAAATCATTTAAATACCTTGGGTTCCCTCACACATTTCTGTTTATTGATTCAAGTAGGCCCTCCAACAGAGAGAAAAATATACATCAAAATAAAATAGAATAACAGAAGTTGGAGGGAGACATTAGACTACTATGCACAATATTCTGCTTAATGGAAGAATCCAGATTAAAGCTCCTCTAGCCTCTATTTTGCCACATACATCAGTTCACTCACTGTTCTTACTGTTAGGATATTTCTCCTAACACTCAATTATAATTATAATCTGTCTTCCTATAAAATTAAATAACCTGGCTTTTATTCCATAGCTTGTATTTTGGAATGATAGGGAACAAGTTTTGACCTTGTTTGGTGTGACATTCTTTCAGATATTTGAAGAATGCTATCATTTCCCTCTCAGTTTTTTCTCTTCCCAGGGCTAAATATGTCCATTTCATTCAATCTCTGGGGAAACAGGAATTCAGCAGAGCACAAAATGTAATCCTGCTCCCTCCCTTGTAAATGTATGGTACATGAAACCTATTGCAAAATGAATCACAGTTAAACCTTTGCAATTTATGGCAAGAAGAACCTAGAAATGCAATGTCAACAGAGAAGCATGAAATAGGCACGTACACTTTCATACCATGCCATTCCGCTAAAACTCCAGAAGAACCAATTTGTCGGCCATTTCAATTTGTTAAAACCTTGAAATCAAAGCCTATGAAAACTGTATGGCTAGGGAGTGGCCACTAGGTGTCACTACTGGAGTTTATTTTCCAAAATTGAAACTGAAGGACAAGAAATCAATACTTGCTCTCTTTATTAAAAAAAAAAATCATATCATTATTTGGTCTTTTCTGTCTTAAACCCTTTAAAGCTTGATCTGTGACACTTTTAGTTATGTATGTGTAAACAAAAATGTCCCATTTCTACCATCCAGAAACAAAGGTAGGATCTCAAGAGTGAAGTGAAGAAAGATTCAAAGAACAAATAGGAGAATCTCTGCTACTTACAGCATGTCACAAAATGGAGTCCACAGACGAAATGCCAACAAAGGGAAAGCTAATTACAGAGTTATTTTAGGAATCCACTCAGAGGAAAGAGAGAGAGAAGGGAAGTACCCTTCCTGGCCCATGCCACACACACACACACACCCCATGCTCCCTCAACCTGTGCCATGTCTGACCACTTTCCGCATCCCATGAAGTACCTTTCCCATTGCTCTCCGGTGCTTACCCCTGAACCATGCTGGTCCAGCCTTCCTTTCTTGAATTGTGCAGCACCTTTTGCACATCCTCCCAATATATATTGAGATGGATGGCTTGTTTTGTATGTACTGGAGGTCTGTAAAAATCTTAGCCCATGTCCTTCCTAGAGCAGGATGTGCTTAGCATTTAACTACTAGATTTCAGTGGTTTGGTCTTGAGGAGAAACTTAGAGAGACCTGAACCTATGGATTTTCAGAATAAACATCTGTGTGATTTCTCTTACGACATTTAGCAAAGACATTCTTGTCCATTGTGAGAGCTTAAATATTAAATTATTCAGGATGAAATATGCAAGTCTAAGAGTAACACTGGCTTACAGTTTTGTCTGCGGAGATTCTCAATCATCTAGGTCATAGTTGTCCCAAAGGTGCTTTTCCAAAAGGCAACTGGACTTTCTTGTTTGTTTTTTTCCTTGATTTTTTTTTTTGCTTTTCATCCAAGAAGCTGAGAACTGAAGAAGCTTCTAGGATGAGAAGCAAAATGTTTTCAAGTTTTCATTGTCTTTTGGAAATGCACCTTTGGGGCTTACAGTTTTCATTATGATGAGTTTGTAGGGTTGCTCTAATGCAATATTTTGGAGAGAACCTATTGAAGTTGAAATCCACACTGCCCAAAACAAAAGAAAACAAAAATGGGTGGCCTGTTTTAATCTCATTTATTTGTTTACATTTTTAATCTGCCTGGCAGATTGTAACCAAGCTAATCTTTTTAAACTAATATTGTAATTCTTTCTCCAATCAGTGTTACATGCCAGTTATTCCATAACTGAATTTACTCTTACTTCTAGTATGAGAATGTCTCCATGGGGTCTGCATGCTGAATGAAGATTAGAATCACCCATTTATTTCTTTAAAGATTTATCTGGCTGCCCACCTTAAA